TCCAGGACCTTGTTGCTGCAAACAGACTGTAGAAAGACTTTAAACAGTGTTCTGTTCATCAATCATCACAACTGAAATGACATTCCATCTTCCTATACGGACATAACAGGCAGGGAAAGCAGAGATCAGGGAAGCAGCCAGGAGGCCCACTCTGATTCTAGGGGAGATCCCAAACCCATGGGGAGGTTGATTCACAACTTTTAGTCATACCAGAAAAGACGTCATAAATCACATTCCTAGTTTCCACAAACCATTCAGGGTACATATGGATCTTATATATAAACGTGTGTATGCTGGAAATCCAACAAACCAAATGCTTTGCAATTCTCCATCCATATTTGGAAACATGGTGGTGGCAGCATCTTACTGGGGGACGACTTTTTTAAGCAGTGACAGAGAGGCTTTGTTAGAGTTAAAGGGAAGCTAAAAAACAAGCATGCCTGTTAGAGAGAATAACACTGGGATTAAAGGTAGACGGCCACAATCCTCCAGCCAAAGCTGCAGAGGAATTGATAAGATCAAACTATCTTCTTGTTTTAGAAGTTCAGTCAGAGTCCAGACCTAAATCCTTATGGGAATTTGGAACAGGATTTAAAACTAATATTCAGAGATTTTCTCAATCCAATCATACATATGTATCTGCTGCGTAGCAGGGGGTCCGGGCAGAATTTGATCCCACAGACTCCTGGGTGAAAGCCACGCACGCCTACCAGTCAGCCACAAGGATATCACCCCGGCCAAGTAGCCAGGAGCCATAATCAGTAGGAGGCGTGATGACAGGACCACACTGTCAAACATGATTTCAGCCTATTGCAAAGAATGAGAAGAATAACTTCTCAGCTTTTCAATTTGCAAAGCTGGTAGTTTTTCAAACTAACCTAGAGGGGCTTAAGTCCCATTTTCTAGACTCTTCTCCTTTTGTTTCACTTCATAATTAGACGCCTCTTAACGTAAAAGCCCAGTGAGTCATATTCTCCTTCGATGTTGTCAGGTGGCATAATACTGTAGATGTTAAAAGCATTTTTCACTTTTTACTCCACCTGATGACAAAGCTGCAGACATTTGAAAAAAATCCCAGATTTATGGCCGCGGTCAGTGCAGCCCATCCCCTGGAAACGACTCGTCCACCGAATCCAGCCTCCCTCATATTCCACATGAACGCTGAACAGAACTCTTTGTTGGATCCATCCACACAAAGGCGCTCCTTATGTTGGACACACAGCTCTCCATTTAACAGCTCAGACACGCTTTTACGTCCTCCTGTGTCTCTGCCAGGATTTCCCCTCAGTAAGAAATGTTCCCCCAGACCTAATGACACAAGGATACAGTGATATAAAGAGTCCCGGGATGACAGCTGAAATGCTCTCTTTCTATACCCTCCTGTTTCTGACTCTGCTTCTGTCAGCAGCACATTTCTGCATAATCTGTTACCATTATAACTCACTGTGAAAGACAGACAGACACTCCTCCACATTTTTCTGCTTTTTTATTCTTTTTCCTTTTCTTCCCCCCATTAGGGAACCTTGGAGCGGGTTCGGATTTGATTCCTTTTCTTTAGGTTATTCATTTAATATAATTATAAATGCAAGTTTTTGAACAGCTTTCGGTAACCTGTAAGGAATATTTTGTTTAGTAGCTTTGAAATGAATATGAGCTGCTCAGTGGAGCAGTGGGTAACACGGCTGCCTTGCAGCAAGAAGGTTAGATTCGGTTCGATTCCCGGCCCGGGGTCTTTCTGCATGTAGTTTGCATGTTCTCCCTGAGCATACGTGGGTTCTCTCCGGGTACTCCAGCTTCCTCCCACAGTCCAAAAACATGTCTGTTACCATAGGTTAATTGGCTTATCTAAATTCTCCTTAGGTGTGAGTGTGTGTGAATGGTTGTTTGTCTCTGTGTTGCCCTGCGATGGACCAGCGACCTGTCGAGGATGGACCCGCCTCTCACCCACAGACAACTGGAGATAAGGACCAGCACCCCTTGCGAGTGTGAAATTGTGACGCAAGTGTGACTGAAAATGGATGGATGGATGAAATTAATACTGTAATCCAGTTGAGACCCGAGGTGTCAAAAGTATAATTGTATAAACATAACTCAAGCAGAAGTATTAGTCGTACTGTTTAAAAACATTTTTGCTAGAGAATCAACTTAAGCTGTCTACTCAAGTAAGTTTGTGTGAAAATAAAATTTGTTGTACCATTTATAAAAATACTTAAAGTATTAAAGTAAAAGTAATGCGAGGAAAATGTTAAGGACAAATCGTTTAAACGTTATACTGGTTACTTTACTAGCCTATTAAAGGCACATTTTTCCTACAATTCTGGAAGATAACATCATTAGACTTAATTTTCTTAGTTTTATAACTAATGGTGACAGAGTCAAATTTAAGTTTGCATCATCTTGAAAAAACATATTTATTTTGGTATGTGGTGAACAACAAGTGGGGGCAGCACCCAGTCCAACCACAAAGAACTTAATGGTCAAATTATTTTGATGTTTTTATTTTTATTTTTTTCAGTACCAACGTACCATAAAAAAAAAAGTGTTTTAAGGGAACAAAACTAACATGTCCGTTTTTAAAATTTAAGGAATAGAGAGTCGAGATAATTGCAAAACTAAATGTAAGAAGTAAAAGTAAAAAGCTGTCTAAAATATAATGAAAGTATAGATACACTGGAAAAATGATCTAGAAATAAGTTTAAAATTTGCTAAATTAAGTTACCCTTGNATATTTCTGATTCTGATTCCTGGTTGATGGGACAGGTGTTGTGAATGAAACGGTGCCCAGCTTGAAAGAGCTCCTGTGTGTCGCTGAATGTGAGCATTGATGACTAAAAGACACCTTCTGCCTCCATTTATCTGTTTACTACAGTCTGTTGAATTCATGTTTATGTGAATTTAAAAACATTTCAATTAGAGGAAAAAATTGCAGCGTTGAATGTTAAAAAAAGTCTAATCAACCAAACATGCAGTACCTCAATGGACCCCCTAGGGGTCACGGACCCCCTGTTGAAGACCTCCGCTTTAAACCTTATACCGGTTACTGCACTAGCCTATTAAAGGCATTTTTTCTACAATTCTGGACGATAACATCTTTAGACTTAATTTTCTTAGTTTTATAACTAATGGTGACAGTGTCAAATTTAAGTTTGCATCATCTTGAAAAAACATTTTTATTTTGGCATGTGGTGAACAACAAGTGGGGGCAGCACCCAGTCCAACCACAAAGAACTTAATTGTCTGGATTAAACAAATTATTTTGATGTTTTATAAGTTTTTTTTTCAGTACCAACGTGCCATTAAAAAAAAAGTGTTTTAAGGGAACAAAACTAACATGTCCGTTTTAAAAATTTAAGGAATAGAGAGTCGAGATAATTGCAAAAATAAATGTAAGAAGAAGAAGTAAAAAGCTGTCTAAAATATAATGAAAGTATAGATACACTGGAAAAATGATCTAGAAATAAGTTTAAAATTTGCTAAATTAAGTTACCCTTGATTTGAGTTGGTGAATTACATAGTTTGCCAATGGAATTAGTATTTTTTATTTTAAAATACAATAATTAGATAATATGCACTTGAAATAAGACGATGCACTTGTGTTTTCTTATTTTAAGTGAAAGTTGTTGTTCCATTGGCTATTTTACCTCCTCAATCCAAGATCAAATGCACTTATTTTAAGAAAAAATGACTTACAGTACCTAGAGTCCGATTTTTTCCAGTGTAGCCAGAATTTCTTCTTAAGATAACAAAGTATTTCAACTTTGTTACTTGACAGCACTGTTTGAAACTAATGGGTTCAGTTTTGCTCGTTGATTACAATCAGATGACGTTAATTAGTGAATAAACCTGACATGCTTTTGTGCCCTTTGATTATTTCTGTTCAGGTGTGGTTTTTCACTACCGAGCCAGCTCCAGCCGCTACTCTCTGGACTTTACTGAAGCACAGGAGGCGTGTCGCTCTGTAAACGCCTCCATCGCCACACCTGCACAGCTGACTGCCGCCTACCAGGATGGCTTGGATCAGTGTGATGCAGGCTGGCTCGCTGACCAGTCTGTCAGGTAGAAAACCCAACATTTCCACCAGTTTTCTACTGTTAGAAAATTGAAAACTTTAATTTTTTTGATATTACTGAACATCTCTGCTGCTGTCAAAAATTTGTGAAGAGGCTAAGAAAGGGTTTCATCTTTTACTGTAATTACAGTGAGGTTTCTTAGTCCCTTTTTGATCTAAAAAAGGTGTGATTGATGTTCCTCAGGTATCCAATCACCAGGTCTCGTCCTGGCTGTGAGGGTAACCTTCTGCAGCGCCCAGGTGTACGAACTTATGGCCGCCGGGACCCCACAGAGAGATACGACGTGTACTGCTTCGTAGATAAACTGCAGGGTTTGTGGGAAAAAACAGCATCTTTAATTTTTTTTTATTTCAGAAATGTCCTTTTTTATTTATTTTTTTATTATCCAGTAATTTTAATTTCCTTTATTTGTCTCTCTTCCTTTAAAGTCTGACTTTCACAGAGTTTTAACAGTTTTTATTTGTGCTTTTATTTCATCCATCTTTAATTCATTTGTTTAATATTTATTAATTTATTTTTTAATAGCGAAAGTATAAACAAACAACTGCTTAAGGATATGTCCCTACAGATCAGCATCTTTTATTGGCTCCAACCCAACAGCGAATTAAATTTAAATATCAGTTGGTCAATTTTTTTTTAAGTTAGCACTTTTTCCCTTGATTAGATGAAGCAATACAATATTCAGATGGAATAAGATGATGTTTTAAATAGGAAAGAAAAAAAATCTCCATTTTCTTATTTCAAAAGCATAATATCTAATTGTCTTACGTAAATTGCAGAAATACTCATTCCTTTGCACATCGTCTAATTTTGAATCACTTAAAAACTTACCATTTTGGACCAGGTTTTGCAGTTTGCTCAGGCAGCTCACCACATTACTTAATAAAAATATTGCCCTTCTTTCATTCCATCTATTTGTTTTTTTGCCCCCATAAAAATAAGATGGACTGTATCAACAATCCTGTGATTTTTTTTGCTTTAAATTTTCCCCAAAATATCCTTTATCCTCATCCTGTCCAAACCTGCCTCTAAAGCATGGTACTCTCCAGAGTAGGTTATGCCTGGATTTTCATGAAGCCACTGTTTCCTCTTTTTGCAGGTGAAGTCTTCTATCCATCCTCCCTCACTGATAAGATCACCTGGCAGGAGGCAAAGGAGGAGTGTGAAAGGCATGACGCCGTGCTAGCGTCCCCTGGTCAGCTGCACGCTGCCTGGATGGCGGGGCTAAACCGCTGTGACTATGGCTGGTTGTCTGATGGCAGTGTTCGATACCCCGTCACTGTGCCCAAGGTTCAGTGTGGGGGAGGCATGCTGGGGGTCCGGACGCTCTACAAGTACAATAATCAGACCGGCTTCCCAGACCCGACTGAAAAACACGGAGCGTTCTGCTTTAAAGGTTAAAACTGAACCCACTTCATACTTTCTGGAAACAGAATTTTCCTGTAGAAAGAGCAGCAGGTTCATTTTTATCAGAGTCTGTTAGCATCCCAACTCCTGCATTGACAGTAAAACTCGTTCTAATCAGTCAGGATTAGAGGACATCTTATGTCTACAGCCATTTCCAGCAGGCCTGACTATATTTCTATTAGCTTTAGTTCATTCCTACCGGATGGTTTTGGATTGAAGTTGACTCATATTTAGAGCGATAACTTTGTCCGACTCATTTTAATTACAGAAAAATAACCCTATTGTCTGATGGCGACACTGGTGTATTTCTCATGGAGAATACAGGAGATCTTTGGCACATTTAGGACATAAATACACCATGTTTGAGATTCCTATAGCTTCTCAAACTGTGAGATCAGTTTCTTCAATTAAGGTAATTTTAATTCAGTTTATTTACAACAGCGCCAATCCACATAACATCATTTTAAGGCTGTTTAAAGAGAATTTAATCAGATCATAGAGTGAGATTCAGAGTT